GCAGGAAGGAGATAAAACTCCGACTGTGTTGGGCCCCAGTTCTGACTGCTCTGAACCCCAATTCTAGGCCAGACCCCGGGAACCCAGACTCATCCAGAGGGAGCTGGGCTGCGAGGCGGAACCCCGGGGAAGCAGCGAAAGGAGGTCCTGGCGGGCGCGCACATTGCATGCAGAGAAGGGACGGTCGGCTGTGCCGCAGGATTGCCCTGGCCAGAAGGAGACGGGCGCCAGTCTGCTCTGAACGCCACCTCCAACTCCACTTCCAACTAACTGAACCCCAATATTGGGTTCATTGGGGGAGAGCATAGACTGTTTGGCAGCAGGCAAAAATCAAGGGCACCTTTCTCTCAGAGGCGCTTTGCAGCGAGTACTGAAGGACCCGCATAGGGCGGGGCTGATGGAAGCCAAGGCTGTAGGCTCCACCCTGAAATTCCATCCCATCTGTAACTGTGAAATGCGACAAGGAAATAGATCACAAAGGAAAGAAATGGAGGACAAAAAGCGGCTGGATATAGAGTTCAAATCTATGCTTAATAAGGTTTTTCAAGAATTTCCTAGAAAAGATGGATAAGACCTATGAGGATATGAAAAGAGGTCAACTAATAATAAGAAGTCAATAAGAAATGATAAGGGATCAACAAGAAATGATAAGGGATCAACAAGAAATAAAGAATACATTGTCTGAAATAAAAAAATATACAGAGTCCTAAAAATAGAATGGAAGATCGCAAGAATCAAGTCAAAGATTTGGAACATAAAGAGCCAGAAGACACTCCTCCATGGAAGCTAGAAGGCAAGAGAATCCAGAAAATTGAAGATAATGTAAGAAACCTCTGGGACAACTTCAAGCGAACCAACATCAGAATTATGGGGGTCCCAGAAGATGAGAGAGAGCAAGATATGGAAAACATACTGAAAGAAATAGTGACAGAAAACTTCCCCCACCTGGTGAAAGAATTAGACTTACAAGTCCAGGAAGCGCACAGAACTCCAAACAAAAGGAATCCAAAGAGGACCACACCAAGACACATCATAATTAAAATTCCAAGAGCAAAAGACAAAGAGAGAATATTAAAAGAAGCAAGAGCAAAGAAGGTAGTTACCTATAAAGGAGCACCTATACGATTGTCAGCTGACTTCTCAACAGAAACCATGCAGGCCAGACGGGAATGGCAAGAAATATTCAAGGTGATGAATAGTAAGAACCTACAGTCAAAGATAATCCATCCAGCAAAGCTATCACTCAGAATCGAAGGTCAGATAAAGAGCTTCACTAATAAAAAAAAAAAAAGCTAAAGGAGTTCATCAACACCAAACCAGAATTATATGAATTGCTGAAGGGGGTTCTTTCAGAAGAGAAAGTAAATAAAGATAAAAATTATGAACAACAAATATGTAACTATCAACAAGTGAATCTAAAAACCAAGGAAATTAAAAAAAAATCTGATGAACAACATTAACTGTTGAATATAATAGAATCAGATGTATGGAAGGGGAGTGAACTGACGATTCTTGGGGAAAAAGGGAGAAGGGGGTGTGGGAAGAGACTAAACATAAACTGTGCACCTATGGATGAAGACAATGGGGAGTGGGGAAAGGGCAGAGGGTGGGGTGGGAACCTGGTGGAGGAGAGCAATGGTGGGGGGGGGGGACATTTGTAATAATATGAACAATAAAAACTTATTAAAAAAAAAAAGATAGAGGAAGACATAAACAGATGGAAGAACATACCATGTTCATGGATTGATAGAATCAACATCATTGATAGAATCAATGTCCATACTACTTATAGATTCAGTGTACTCCCTATTAAAATTTCAAAGACATATTTCACAGACCTAAAACAAACTCTCCAATAATTCATCTGACCCCAAATAGCTGCAGCAATTCTGAGAAAGAAGAACAAAATAGGAGGGATCTCAATACCAGATATCAAGCTACAACACATTTGTTTCTGGAATGTTGTTTTTTATGTAGCTGTGATGTGATTCCTCTTGGTGGGCAGAATGGCCTCTGGATGAGTGAAGGCTGGCAGGCTTGGGATGAAGACCTTCCAGGTAGTTCTGAGCAGCCAGTGTTGGCTGGCAAACTGTCCATTGCTACACACTCTACTGTATCGGGCCATGCCAACCATTCCTTTCTTTGAAGTGCTTTAGAAAAGCTAGGCCTCTCAAGTGATGTCTATCAAACCCAGATATAAGTGCTGTCTAATGGCTTGAGTCAGCAGGGGTGGGTATCCAAGAAGTCTCATGTTCTTCGCCTAGTACTCAGTTATTTTACCCCTTCAGGGTCATTGTATAAATTATTTAAAGAAACCAACCAATTTCTTCCTCCCTCCCTCTCCCTCTCTCTGTCTTATATACACACCACTACCACTACCACCAAAGATGGAGTGAAGGGTAAGATTTATTGCTTGGTTTCCTGTGGCTTATTCTGAATGAGAGGCTGTGCAGGCACCAATTACAATTGGTAACATAAATGTGCTGACCCCCAAAGAACAGAAATGTTCTCAGCTGCATACCCACAACCTCTGTAGCCCAGAGCCAGGGAGTGTCTTATAAACTTCAGAGGAAAACATTTGAAAGTTCAAATTATTTAGAGTAGATATTAGACCCTTTTCCCCCTTTTCCTCTGAACTCAGAGTGGATACTTATTGTCTTGGTTTCCAATCCAAACATCTATCCTGTGTGTGTTTTTTCTTCTCCTGATGCAATCTGTTGGTTCATTCTATCTAGAGAAAGGCAGAGTGAAAGCATGGTGGGGGGCAATTAAGCCTTGCTGACAGAGTATTAGTAATAACACTTTGTTTGGCAAAACCTTCATAGCCAGATGCTTAGAAGTGTAGGGTTTCTTTCAGGTTGACCCAAAGGCCTGATTTTGCAAGGAGACAGTCTCCCCATCAGTATTCACTTCCTCTTAGTATTCTCTCTCCACTGGTTCATTTGGCCATTATATTTACATTCTAGAGAGACGCAGTTGATGTGTGGCAGGAGTGGAGATGATATGGGCACAGGTCCTCCATGTGATAAGTGAGATCTCCAAAATATCAGGTTGAGTCATCAATAAAACCTCACTTAGCAAATCACTGCCAGGCCCTGACTTATAGCCCATTACTATTCCAATTCCATTGGCCTTTATGTGAATTTTCTAATTTAGTCCTTATCACAACTCTGGGATGTGAGTTTTAAGATCTGCACTTTAAAAGCTGCAATCTGAGGGTCAAAGGTTGAAGACAAAGGTCAAACCGTGATTGAATAGGAAGAGTCAGAATTCCAACTCCAATCTTTCCAAGCCTGGGCCCTTCACCACCATGCTGAACTGGTCTGTGTCTTCGTGAGTTATTATTACATAACTGTGGGCGTGAGCTCCTTCTTATTGAAGCATGGGCACTAGTAAAAGTAGTGCTGAAAGAAAGGAAGTCGTGGATTGTGCTTTCTGTGCCATGGGAGGGAAAAGTCAACCAAGAGGGTGCTGTTGATAAGCTGAGGCAACTGAGATGAAAGGCCCTTCCTGCTTCTGCTGCCAGCGGGAACACTGCGAGGGCCCAGCAGCAGGATTGCCTGATGAACACAGATCCCTGAGCCGAAAGGTGAGCTAGTCCTGCATGCAGGGACAAAAGTTGAGGTCAAGGAGATGTCAATTGAGGAAGGGCCAGTAGGATTGAGAGAATGAGGAAGACAGTTCTTGGCTAGTGAACAAAAAGTCTCGGCATTTTCTCTGTTGCTTAGACTTTTTTGTTAACATGGGGAAAGTTCTCAGCGGTCAGAAGTCACTGTGTTTCATCAATGTTGTCATCAATATGGAGGCCATGGGAAGGACAAGGCCACAGGAAGTCTTAGCTGGACAGCTGGGGATACCTGAGGACAGCATGTCACTATTGGAGTTGGCCTGGCTACTTCCAAGAAGCTACTTCCCCTCTGTGGTTTCCTTAGCTACTTCCTGCTGGCTTCGCTGGTGTGTGGGAAAGACGTGGTTTCACACATGCCAGATGTGAATGCACACGAAATGACTGAAAACCTCTCCTGGTTCCATCCATGTGCATGATATCACTGAGGACCACAGGAAGATGAACATTTATAGCTGTTCTCATAAAGTGCATAGTGTAAGCACTTTTGCCTAAGAACTATCACAAAAATAGATTTCCTGATGAAGGGAGAGAAAACAACCATCAAATACATATACTGGAAATACTAACCTGTGGCAATCACCAAAGATGGTAACAAATGACTTGACTCTTAGGAATGTGATTGTGACTGCAGAACCCCTTTGATTATTCTAACCTGCTGTGGCTTTTGCCAAGTGGGCCAGCTAATACGTGGAACAAGTGAAGTAGAGGGTTAATCAGAGCCTGAAGACTTTTCGCATACATTTAGGTGTCAAAATAAAAGCAAAGCACTGTGCCAGGAGCTTATTGCTGAGACTGGAGTGTCCAAATGAGCAGCTGTTCTAGAGGCTTTTACAACTACACATACTTACGGTGTAAAGGGACAGAGAGCTGTCACTTCCCAATTCTTCAACCTTTCTATGGTCACATGGCTAGCAATTTAAGAAGTTTAAATCACTTCAGAATGTATTACAATTGCATTTTATTTCAGAAAATTCTTGTCACTCAAAAAGTTGAAATTATTTTCCCTTCTTCTTTGAATACAGAACAATTATAATCTGTACTACTTATTGAGAGCAATGGTCTAGGCAGAGAGGACGGGAGGAAAGGGAGGAAGGTCTGTTTGCCTGCAAAGTCCCTGCTCTCAAGGACAGTACAGTACAGCCTACCGAATAATAAGTTTAGAAAATTTACCACTCATGTCAGCTCCTGAGCCACACATGCTCCTGCACAGAGCTTCGGTGATTAGTGATTGGCCAGGAACACAAACAAATGGTGCAGGAGAGAGGTGAATCCCTTTGCTGATTTTCAGGTCTACAAGCAAGGGTGCGATTACTGTTGTCTCATCAGTGTGAACAGGTGCCCCTTTATGACCTGGTTGCCTTTCTCATTCTAGTCTAAAATCCATGCTGCACGAAGCCTGAGTGAGATCGCTATCGACCTGACTGAGACGGGCACACTGAAGACCTCCAAGCTAGCCAACATGGGGAGCAAAGGGAAGATCATCAGCGGCAGCAGCGGGAGCCTCCTGTCTTCAGGTAGGCACGCTCTTAGGTTGGGAGCCACCCGAGAACATGGAGGAAGTTCCTGCGGAAGCCTGGCTTCAGCCTTGGAGGGCTTCAGTGAAGGCGGGGAACCAGCAGCAGCTCGAGAGGCTGCTTGGCAGGCTCGCCAGGAGCTGGCTCTAGTTTGGAGACATTGGTTTCCGGCCAAATGGGAATCTGAGAAAAGTGCCAGTAGTATCAAAGGGTGGGGGAAGAGGAGCGGTAGAGCCAGCCAGTGTGCAAAGGATGGTTGGTCATCTAAGTGTCTTCAAGCGCCCTCCAGAGCCCTCTGACTGCGATGGTGATGGCTGAGGGTCGGGAGTGGCAGCTCCGGGACAGCCGTGGGATTCACTGTGTGTCATTAGAGGAGAATTATACTCAGGCTGGGCTGCAGGTAGGGTCGAGATGCTAAATGATGGCACATTGTGTTCTTAGATGAACTTCTTGAAACTTTAAAAAAGTCCAAAATACTCTTGCTCGTTTGGAAAGGAGGGATTTGCTGTCATTGAGTACGGGAGAGTGATCAAGCACCTTTTTGAAACTGAAAGTCAAAGGATCCGATTCCTTTCATCTGTTTCTGCAGGCCCTCGGCAAGCCTTTTGTCATTAGATATTGTGGGAGGGACAGAAAAGCTCTGAGGGTTCAGATCCGGCTGACTTCAGGAGAAGGGACACCACTTGCTCAAGTGTGAGACAGGAAAAAGAACAGGTTTGAGGAGGGCAGGAAGGGAGAGGGAGGCAGTAATTGTTTGGAAATATTGTGAAGTGTTACTGATGAGGGTTAATCTTTAGGCCATAAGGTCTGTCTGGTGGTCCTTGGGGACAGTGTGTCCTTGCTTCTGAGCCATGGAAATACAGTGTCACTTTCTATAACTGTTTTCTAGTGGTTGCACACAACAGCAGAATGACACACAAAAAGAGGAAAAGAGACAAGAGAGGAGGAAGAGCTGAAAGCCATCTAGTTAGCTTCTGGGCAGGTGGAGTCCAGGGAGAGCCAGGACAGGGAGGAGGATGGCTGCCCTTCCTGGACTGAGAGGCGGTGTTACAAAAGGCTCTTCATTTGACAGGCCTTTCTTTCTAAAGCTCTGGGAGGACCCCAGTATGTGTTCACATGGCCATGTGTTTTCATCAAATCTTCTAACAAAATACGTTTCACATTCTTTTTCTTAAATAAAACCTCCAAAATAATAGAAGTACTGGATCTGCCTCTGCTAGATCACCTTAGGGTTCACCATAAGCCCCTCCCTGCTTCACGATTTCTAACATTTTTCTTTTATCAACACAACAGGCCAAATCATTATTTCTGAGGCCTAGAGGTTTACAGTAAAAACATAGAGAATGTGGTCTTCTTTTATCAGCAAGAAGGCCATTCAAAACCTAAGCCCCTTGCCTGGAATTGCAGCCACTCCTAGTCCCCTGTGGAATGGCCTAAGGGAGATCAGAGCCTATCCCTGTGTTTGTCCTCTAGACTCTCCTGACCCCTGCTAAGACCCAGAGTCTCAGATTCCAGTCTGAACTGACCCACTCAATCTCCTTATTATCCAGCCACAGATGAGCTGCACGCATCCTTCATGCTCAGTGAGGGTTGCATTTCTGCTGTGGTTACATATCCATTTGGGAACCCAGGTCCTTTGTGAACATGGCACAGTTATTCACAGAAGGACAATGATCACCCAGCTTATGCTTCTCCCACCTCCCTGTGCATCCCAACTACTTGGAGGGCGTGTTCAAGCACAGACAACTAGGCTCCAGCTCCAGAATGTTTGATTCCCTTGGTCTAGGGTGAGCCTGAGGATTTGCATTTCTAATGAGTTCTAACAAGACCTCAAGTGCTGCTGATGCTGCTAGTCTGGAGACCAGACCCCTCTTGAAGAGCTACTCTTCTTGCCGAAGAAGAGAAAAAAGCCGGAGGTGGCTGTGCTCAGAATCTTGGGAGGACCAGGTATCCCCACTTTTAAACCTGTGCCCTGGTCCATCTGCTCGGCTGCCTTATCTCTGACAGCGTCCAAGGATACCAAGGCAGTGCCTTATGGCATTTACAGGTGAAAGTATGAGCAGGAGCCCCAAACCTCCTGACATGGAACTGACTTCACTAAACCATCAGAAATTAAATCCAGGCAACTTTAAGGGGAAAAGCAGTTCCTTTCTGTTACTGCCATCACCTTGACATTAACCATCAATCTAGAAGGTAAAGCAAAAGAAAACCTCCCTGCTGAACCCACCCCCACCCCTAATGGAAGCATCTTTATTTCAAGATGCTAAAGTGATTTTTCACGTGTTTGATAACTTGTGATGGAGGCCCCAAACTAAGCTGTTGTTGTGAGTCGATGGAGTCAGCTAAGGACCCTTGCCCTCCCCACTTTCAGTGGCTTCATTTGCAGGCACTGACTCCTCTGCTGCAGAGCTAAGCAGGAGGAAGTTGGGTAGAGGAGTCCGCTGGGAGGTGCAAGCCTTGCCCATGGCAGGCCAGGGAGTGCTTCCAACTCTGCCTCACCCTGTGGTTAGAGCCTGAAGAATGGTCCTTGAATGTGAGGCTGAGGCTCCCAGAGGAGGTTCCCTTCTCTTGACTTAGGAAAGACAATAGGGCAATGGAGGGAGAGACCATAAAACAGGAAACTTCCGTCCCTCAACTCAACAAAGGGAATTTCTAGAACCCGGAGATCTAGTTACCACTCCTTCTGGGCCTGCTGATTGCTGCTCCTCTGTCTTTTCTTGTCCCAGGAGGAAACGCCTTCCCTTGAGAAGTCCTTAGAAATTCCTCCTGGAAGGCACCTGCTTCCCATGCCCCACAATGCAGAAATCTAGGCTAGGCTCCCACCCTGTTCTTTCTGTCCTTTCATGTCCTCTTGCCTAACTGCTATTGAAAATGCCTTTAGTCATGTGCTCCCACAGGCTGAAAGGGCGTTGCTCCTCCAGCCCAGCCCTGGTTTTAAAGATTTTTTACTACTCTTACCAGACCCCATATTCTATCCCTTGTTCAGAAAATATAATACATATAATCTACTAGGGAGCCAGTTAATGAATTTGTGCACCTTGAAAAGAACTGTGTACTGAGAGGCTGCTGGGGGAGAGGGAGGCACAAGGACAGGTCTTACCCCATTCTCTGCACCCCTACCCGACCCCACCCGCATGGCCCTTGGTCCCCTGTCTTCTTGCAGCCCCACTTGTGCCACCACAGCTTCCACACGCTGACAGAGCTGGCTACTTGTACCTCTGAGGGCACAGAGCAATTGGGCTGGAGCCATCAGCAGGTGCTAGCAGTGGCTGCTGTTCAGATCACCCTTCAGGAGCAGGGGGAGGTGGAGAAGCCCTCAGAGGCAATAGGGGCTGATGCTGGGCACCTGCAGCAGGTGCAAGCAGTGTCAGGGCTGTCACTGGCAGTAGGTGGGAATGGGCAGCTGCCAGCCCCAATCACCCCTCAGGAGCAGGGAGAAATGGAGAAGCTCTGAGGGGTGATGGGGGCAGAAGCCACCACTAGCACCGTTGACAGCACCAAGTGATCAGGGCCAGCACCAGGTGATCAGGGCCAGTGCTGGGCATCAACAATGGGTGGGAGCGTCCAGCGGGACCAAGGTGCCTGGGAGCAAAGAATTTTCAGTAACCACCAGAGGCTCACTCCAATGGTAGCAACCAGTGCCCGCCTTGGTCTGATGTCCCTGCTCACCTGCTCCACCATTCCACCGCGGCTGATGCCCGCCATGTTCTGCACAGGTCCCTTGGAGGTCAGCACACATCATAGCGACTAATTGTTCGGTTCTGTCTTTAGGTCTATTAAATAAACTCTATTTGCTTATTAGGTTTTTATATATATCTATATATCCTATTTGATCAGTTGACTTCTCTCCTTCTGCTGCCTCATGTTTTTTTTTGGGGAAAATGATGGTCCTTAAAAGCATTTTGAGAAATTAATTATTATTTGAAAATTATATTTTCTACTTCTAGCTCACTTTATGACATCTAGTAGGTGCTCAATACACAATTTTAAAAAATTGTTTGCATTATATTCTCATGACTTATTTATAACGAAATTTGTATCTTTTGAACTCCCTCACCCTTTCACCAACCCTCTCTAGCAACCACCAATCTGTTCTCTTACTCTGTTTTAGTTCCTTTAGCATTATGCCCATGTTGCTGCAAATGACAAGATTTCATTCTTTTTTATGGTCGAATAATATTCCATCGTGTATGTACTCCACCTGTGTGAGTGTGTGTGTGTGTGTGTGTGTGTGCGCGTATGTATACACCAAATTTTCTTTCTTTATTCATTCAGTGTTGGACATTTACTTTATTTTCATATCTTGTCTATTATGAATAATGATTCTGTGGACATGAGGTGAAGTTGATGGTTTAGTTTCCTTCAGATAAATACCCAGAAATGGAATTGCTGGGTCGTATGGGAGTTCCATTTTTCATTCCTTCAGGACTCTCCAAGCTGTTTTCTATGGTGGCTGCACCAGTTTACCTGTTGCCCACCACAGCAGTGCACAAATGTTCCTGTTTCTTCACATCCTTGACAACATTGTTATTTCTTGTCTTTTTTATAATTGCCATTCTAACAGATGTGAATGATAGCTCATTGTGGTTTTAATTTGCATTTTCTCACTGACTGGTGATGTTGAGTATCTTTTCATGTACCTTTTCAGATTCTCTGCCCATTTTTTAACCAGATTGTTTGTTTTCCTGAATGTATAGATGAGGATGTTTCAGCACATGCTCAGTCAGAAAACATAGTTATACATACATCATATGTTCAAATATGGTGGCAGATTCCTTCCCTGGAAGGAGACTTTAGTACCATAATGAGGGAATAATGAGAACAGTTCTTGAGGAGTCACTGGAGCCCCTTCAGCTGCTCCAGCAGGTCTCTGGTGGTGGTTTCAGGTTCTGTAAAACACCCTGGCCTTGTTCCTGAAAAACAGTTCTAGCAATTATAAAGGCGGGATTGTGTAGGTATGGATAAGCATCTAAGTCTTGATCTTTCTATGAAACTTCCAG